ATACCCATACTCTACACTACGATTCTGTCCATTGCTGACTTCCATCAAGCATCCTATACCATAAACCTAATTATCATCCACCATGTGTCTCATTGGATTCACAGCACTAAAGTATCTTCGATCAGTTTGTGTGAAAAGTATGAAAAACTGATTGATTACTGGAGATTTCCATCTCTCTAAGATTTTATTGGTTTAGAAAATTGATGAGTCAGATCGCGGACAAACATCTCATTTTCCGTATCCGACACGCATCTTTTCATGATAGGGAATAAAAATCCAGCTAAAGGCATGGAAATATTGGTTATACATCTTAATCAATTATTTCTATAGAAAATCTTACTTGAGTGAACATGGTTTCGCATTGTAGCGCGAAAGCTTTCGCCAGTATCTTCATCATCAGCTAGCGGTTCCGCCATAAGTCGTAAAAACATATTGTACTGTTCACGCTCGTCATCATTGTCACCATTAAGTCGTCGACGCAATTCTTGGCTGTAAGAATCATGTGTTGCAACTGATGAATGCTTTGCAACAATTACAACGAAAGCTATAATCACTACCACAATGGTAAACGAATGCATTTGTATGTTGTTGTTTGGTGTTGAGTGAGGATATGGGTGTATCTGTCGATTGATGGAAAATGGTTCGCTCTTTATAGTGACGATGAGAAAAGGTATGCATTCTTCCGGAACGCTGTTTTGATTTGAATGAAAAAAAACAAAATTCCTTGTTTACCAGCTAATCAACCAAATTGATAATTATACTAATTGTGAAACATAAAATATTGATCTATTTTATGACAATAGCGAATAAATTACTTGTTTTCAAGCAATTACGACTTAGTCTTAATGAAGAATTTAAAAACACATTATCATTATAATGATCGAGAATCAAACTGAAAAATCGAATTGATAATTATTCTAATTGGGAAACATAAAATATCCATATATTTTATGACAATAGAGAATTAATGATTTGTTTTCAAGTAATGGAGGCGTATTTTTAATGAAGGTTTTAAAAATACATTGTCATTATAATGAACAACAATCCAATTAAAAATCAGATTCATAATTATGCTGATTGGGAAACATAAAATATTCATCTATTTTATGACAACAGCGAATTAATGATTTGTTTTTATGGAATTAAGGTGTATTCTTAATGGTGATTTTAAAAATGCATTGTCATTATAATGATCGAGAATCAAACTGAAAAATCAAATTGATAATTATTCTAATTGGGAAACATAAAATATTCATATATTTTATGACAATAGAGAATTAATGATTTGTTTTTAAGCAATTACTACGTAGTCTTAATGAAGATTTTAAAAATACATTATCACTATAACGAACAACAATCCAATTAGGAATCAGATTGATAATTATGCTCATTGGAAAATATAAAATATCCATATACTTTATGACAATAGAGAATAAATTATTTGTTTTCAGGGAATGGAGGCGTCTTTTTAATGAAGATTTTAAAAATACATTATCACTATAACGAACAACAATCCAATTAAAAATCAGATTCATAATTATGCTAATTGAGAAACATAAATTACTCATCTATTTTATGACAATAAAGAATAATTGATTTGTTTTCAAGGATTTCAGAAGTATTTCTAATGGAATTACATAATTTAGTGCCGTATGTTTCGCTGTCGCTGTAAACAGTTGTTTATAAATTTATTTTTCGCTTTTTTTACAAGTGAAACGTTAGGATTTTTTTGTTTTTAGTAACTTATATGATTAAGTTAGATGAATCTAATGATAACAATAGCAAATGTTGTTTGAGATTTTCTATGTGTAAGGTTTTTTGTCATCTCAAATGTTCGTGATAGTAAATTTAAATCTTATTATAGTTCTTAATTAAGTAGATAAAAAAGTTATTTTCTATCTCAAAGGTTTAATTCTCATCTCAAACGTTTGTGAAAATACTTTTCAATGTATTTATATTCGTAATTAAATAAATAGACTAAAAGTGTGGGTGTGGTAGCACTGAGTGACATGAAAAGACATTCGCACCCACTCCTTTTTTCTTATTCATATTTATATATTGTACCATTTCATTATATGTAACGTTATCGAAAGCACATCTCTTTTCAATAAATGTTTGGTATAAAATATCAAATAGTTTGTTTTCGAATATTAATACTATTTATATTAATAAAATAGGAGCTCATATAATGATTAATATTATCAATAATTAAATATAATTCAAGAATAATATATCTGTATGTGTATTATAATTAATAGTTTTAAATTTCCATTTTCAAATCTTAGAAAAATTTCATGAATAAAACATTCATTTCAATTCAACATGTTTTATCCGGGAAAATCAGCCAGATTATTTATTGATATACCTCTTTTTCATAACAAAAAGTAAAAATAAAGTAATGGAGTTGATTTTTATACAGTATAAAAATAAATTTATTGAATTTCTAATTCTTCTTATAGTCGAAATGGTATATGTCATGTATAGTTTGATTGCACTGGCTCTTACAAGAATTAAATACATAAAGAACAAATGAACACATTTTCTTCTTTATTATTACAAAGCCATTTTGAAACTGAATTGATCAAACGAGAAGAAGAATATTTTCTTCATCCACTAAGTCATTTTATTTTAAAAAACTAGCTATTCATACCTATTCTATTCAGGTACACATATGGAAAATATTCAGAAAAATAAGAAGAAGAAAGACAGTAATCGATGTGAATACTTCTTACTTCTTGTCAAAGCGAAGAAAAATAAAGAAGATGCTGTGATACATCTTCTTTCGAGTTGTGTAAGAAGTAAATAAAAATGTAGATTAAAATAAGAAAAAGAAAGATGTGGATGAACAATATGATGGTCATGTAGGAAATAGAAGTGAGAGAAATAGATCAAAAATGTTAATTTAGCAACAGCAAACTTTGGCACATGATCTTTTGACGGTGACAGTTTTCTTTCGGATGACTTTGCAACATGGTTTGCAGCAGCATACAGTTTTAGTTACACAACATTTTGGACCACAGCAGCAACAATCACAGCAGCAAGGATCACAACAAGAGCAACAACAAGGATCACAACAGCATGGATCACAGCATGAACCACAACCGCAGCCACATCCACAGCCGCAGCCACAACCACATCCACAACCGCAACCGCATCCGCAACCACAACCACAGCCTGGCATATTAATAGTAATAATGTAGTGAAGAATAAAACTGAAGTAAGATAAGAATTGATTTGTGAAACTATGAGAATAGATGTGGGTATATATATAGTGGCAAAGAAACGAACAAAATTGTTTTCCGTCAACAAAAACAACAATTCACTACTGTTTTCACATGACAATATTTAGTATGCATATGTCATAGAAAAATACATGAAGAGACATACGTAACTCTTTGTTACTATTCATGCAACACAACAAAAATATGAAATTCACACTTATTATCAATATTTTTCGTTTGATTTATTTTGATAGTATATAGAAAACATTTAAATTTGATTTCACATTCACCTTGTGACCACAACTCTCAAAGGGTAAATGTCATTTCATACACCTTTTGATGAAAACAGTGCTAATCAAAAAAACCAACTATATTTTTTTTATGAAAAATATTGATTCTTACGTTCTAGTACACACATGCTGTAATATCATAAAATTACGTGAATATCATACTACAACACAACACAAGAGAAAGCAATAAGAAAAATATCTAATATATGAATACAATGATATTTTTATTTCTTTGATTGTTTCTGATTTTGATCGGTGAAGATTTGATATGGTCGATTAAGCGAAAGCCTGTGATAAAGAGCTTTCAGATTAATGACAAAAATGATCAATTTACATGATTTTGTTTTAAAAAAATGACATGAATCGAAGAACACTAGAACGAGATAAATATTATATTTCATCGATATAAGAATTAATCAAATCAGTCACAAATATTAAGATATTCTTATTTGTATATAATCATAGCTCGCCAACGGATATCGATTGTTGGCAAATGAGTACGGATATGAGTGAGGGTGCACTGAAAAAATCTTTTGATACACAATCCTGTTCAGCATAAAATAGGTTTCGAGACTTGATACTAATTCGAAATCCTTTTTTAGTGCGATTTTTATTACCATCCGATACCTACACCTATATTCTTCTTTACACTGATTTGCTTCTTTTACCGTTTGATTTATTGTTAGAAATGATTGCATTTCAGATAAGTCTTGTCTGGAACGTTTCTTTAGCTTATAAATAGACCATACTCATATACTCAACATCTCGAAAAAAAAGAATTCTTTTTTAGATTCTATCATTTCTTACTAATGTTTATTGACATTAACTGCTGACCTTATCTTTTGTTTATCAAACTTATATGTGAAACATCATTACATTCGTTTTACTGCAAATATTATATTGCTGACTAACACACACATCATCAATTACGTATTATTTCAAATGGCAACATCAACTAATAAGCTACTCTGTGTTAAATGCGAAAAAGTAAGAGCAACATCAAAATGCGCAGGATGTTCACACGATTATTGCTATGATCATTTACGAGATCATCGACAAGAATTAAATATACAATTAGATTATATTGAAAATAATCATAATCATTTCCGACAAATACTTAATGAATATATAAATAATTCAGAAATACATGCTTTCATTCAACAGGTCGATCAATGGGAAAAAGAGTTAATCAATAAAATTCAACAAAAAGCAAATGAATGTAGAGAATTATTAAAAAAGCATATTAATGAAAATATACATCAGATTGAAATTAATTTAAATAAACAAACTGATCAATTAAGAAATATTGTTAAAGAAAATGATTTTAATGAAATTGATTTAAATGAACTTAATGAAAAATTAAAAGAATTAGAACGACAACTTCATTAACCATCTAATATTTCAATTCAAAATAATTCTACATCATCATTTATTAACGAAATAACAGTCGTTACATCTTTTTGTGAGTCACTCATAGTTATCTCTAAAGTGGTGCAAAAAATGAAATCTCTTACACTTTGAGTAAACTATGTGAGTGTTTTGTAGGTTGTTAGTATGAATGTGTGTATTATATTCATCCTACATTTTCCATACTAATATCATTTTTTTTACATAAGAATATTATGATTGTCATATCTTCTAATTATAGATAAATCCTGGGACAACGAGATATATTCAGTTAGATCTGTAGTCAATGAAAAATTTGTGACAGCACAATACTTTCGGTTTGGTTCTTTAATTGCGCAAGCGGATAAAGCGCGGTCATGGGAAAAATTCAAAATTGAAGTAGTTAATAAAGAACTCAATCATATCGCATTGAAAGCCTTCATAAATGATAAATATGTAACAGCTGAACATGGTGGTACACGCCCATTAATTGCTAATCAAACTTCCATTGGCATATGGGAAACATTTGAAGTAAATGAAGTTACTCACAATATTGTAACACTTAGATTAATTGGAAACAATCAGTTCGTTTGTGCTGAAAATGATGGTACAGGTCCTCTTATCGCAAATCGAGATACTGCAGATATTTGCGAAAAATTTGAAATTTTGCCGTTTTATTAATGATAAAATCAATTATTTAACGAACTTTGAATTTATTTATTTGTAATTAATATCTAAGTTAAATAATAAGACTTAAACTATAAAAGGATCTTTTGATAGAAAAGTTAATATTGTTTTCATCAACTACATGAATGATATGATTTTCAGAATGACTATGAATGTGAAGAAAATTCTTCAGTAATCGAGGTCGTTTATTCTTAAATTTTTGTGCTTTTTGCAAATAGAGAAGAATCCTACCTGATTATCTTGAAAAGCCAAAAAGCTGAAAATAATGACAAGGTATTTAAAATTTCTTGTGGATGTAAATGTTGTTGAGGCTATCGAAAACATGAAGATAAATTCACATTCAATCTCAAAAGCAATATTTTCATATTTTATAATCAATCTAATAGATGACTAGTTACAGTTATGTTGCTATTTCATGCATCACTGACTGACGTCTACAAACAAAATATCACTTAAGATGAATCTATTGAATATAAGAATACGTGAAGAGTTAATGACAAAGCTCATTATATTCTCATATCCTCAGGAGATAACTGCGCATTGATTCGTAAATTTTATATTCATGCACAGCTAGATGGAGTTTTTCTGAATATTTAAATCTTACACTTAGATTAGACATAATATATAGCAATACTCATAGACATGGTCTAAAATCATTTTTTGCTTGAGAGAGTTTGATAAAGAGTGCACGAATGTTCCTAACACAATAAAAACACACAGATTTTTTTCTTATCAAAAAAGATAAGTGAACGTTTTGTTGCAGAACAATAATTAGTCATCTTCAAGTTATTCGAATGATTTTTTTCAAATGCAACCGTACTATTAATTATTTGAAATAATGAAATATGAGTGTTTTATAATCAGGACAATAAGAAAAAAAAAGTAAAGAGAAAAGTAAAACTCATGGAAATACAATATATGTCAATTTATACAGGATACAATAATAATAATAATAAATAAATTATATTTGTCAAACTTCGCTATTAGTTTCAGGACTATGATGTGAAATTCTATCAATTTTTTGTTGATAATTTTCGTAAAAATGATTACTAAATCCACCGATATATTTATGCTGTGAAAGAAAAATTATTAAATGTATCGTACTAGTATTGGTTGATGTCTACAAGATATTTCATCTATTTAAACAAGATACTTCGCATTTACATACTAAATTAGCAAACATAAGCGTGTGGGTATGGATGATGATAATGTGAATATTCACATCCTCAAAAATGCTTTAATTAAGATACATATTGTGATGCATAAAATATTATATAATCAAATTTTTTGAAAGATTAAAAAAAAGTAATTTAAGAAATTTTAAAGTAGAGTCTGTGCGTTTTTCATTAAGATAAACGTCTCTTTATCCAAGAATAATTTGTTTCACTTTATTGTCATCATCAAGTACAAGACGAAGTGTATCGGGATAGAATATTTCATGATAACCTTTCGATAGTGATTCTTGAAGAATTTTATATTCTAGAAAGTAAAAACAAAAACAACATTAGAATAGAAAATATAGTATTAATTAAACTAACCTGGATATTCTGCTTGAACTATTGGCAGAGCTTGTTCCACATCCATATCCATGACTTTTTTCTCGAGTTCTTTCAAATCGGCAGACATTATTTCCTATAAATTGAAAACTATTATAATAATTTTATGTGTAAAAGAGAAAAACAAGACAACACTCTCTATACACAATATTGTGTAATAAAACAGATAAGAAAAAGAATTCTATCAACTTTTAATATTCACTAAGATTTTATTAAGAGAAAAGATAAAAATTCTTTTATTTTTCTCGTTTTCTCGTTGTAACAATAGTTCTTATCTAATTTAGTATGAAAAAAGATAATTTTATTGAAAAATAAAAAATGTATGTTCTACATGTACTTAAATTAAATAATATAATCATACGAACTGAATATTTATTCTCTTACTACTCAATCTCCATGTGATATTATAGATCTATTAGGAGTTACAGTAAATACATCGTGATGATAAATGTCATAAAACTTGAACATACTATAGTAGAAGATTTTGCAGAATTATATTATAAATCAGAAGAATTAGTAGATTTAAGATTAGAATTAAGAATAAATGGCACATCTGGCTTTATTTTTATTTCATTCACACATAATGATTGTCCTTGTTTTTCATGTTCTTCTTATTATATTGCCATCGTCTATTCTTAATTTAATATGAGAATAAATATCAGCTGCATCAAGTCGCCTCCACAGTTTCTTGTACTATTTATCTGATAGATGTATATACTACTTTCAGTATTCGAGAATGTTTTTCAGCAAGGTTGTTGTTGTCTTATTCGTGTTTACGTGGTTCTCCAACGTTGGCGCACATTGTGAGTTATAAAAAGCATTGTAATTTCATTGGATGTCTTACTGTTTTTTTTTCATTCTCATACCAATTAGATTGTTGGCCTTCTGTTGATCAAACACCTGCCTGGGATGTTGTTCGTAGAACAGACAATTATGAGACACGTAATCCTGTTCGTTCATTCACTCATCTCTAGTCATAATAGCTGAATGAATAAATTTTCATTCTAGATTAAAAGTGTAACTGATTCCAACTTTAGATGTTTCAATGCTGCTGGTGGAACTGCTCCAAACACATATTCTATCGAAGCCGGCAAAACTATTACCTTTCATACTGATAACGTTCTCTATCATTTGGGAGTAAATAATCTTTTTTTCTTCAAAGTGTAATGTTTGAATTATCGCAATGCTAATGTTTGTAATAGGTTATCAACGTGTATATGGCTAAAGCACCAGGCAAAGCCATTGACTTCGATGGTGCTGGCAACGTGTGGTTCAAAATCTTTGAAATTACCGCCCATGCCGATCCTACAGGAAATGATTATCCAAGATTTCCCGCTGATAGTGAGTCATCGTAATTTTTTTCGTTCACTAATCATTTTTCTCTACAGTGTTACACAGCATCAGTTTTGCTATCCCAAAGAACGTTCCAAGCGGACAGTAAGTATTATTCATTGTATAAGATTATTCAAAGTTAATCATTTCTAGATATCTACTTCGTGTCGAACACATAGCTCTTCATGACGCATTTTATCATGGTGGTGCTCAATTTTATATTGCTTGTGCACAATTAGAAGTAACAAACGGTGGAAATGGTTCTCCAGGACCTCTCGTTTCAATTCCCGGAGTGTATACTGGCCATGTATGTACACAGTATTTTGAAAAACTCAAGTGCGAAGCTCAGTATAATAGAATTCTTAAAATGGAAAAGACTAGTTTAGTTCATTTTTTAGAATTTTTATCAAATTTAAGAAATCTTTTCGTGAAAAAAGCTAGAGACCTGCAAAATTAAGGACATTCTAGGATTGTGTCTGCTAATGGCATTCTCGTGAGTCTTGTTTTTGTACCTTTACCTGTGAAAGAAGAACGTATATTTCTTCTATTTCATATTCGATCTATTTTCTCCACAGGAACCTGGTATCATCTTCGATCCATATGCCTATCCTAAACCAACCAGCTATATACAACCGGGACCGGTAAGTGTTTGACTTTTGCAAAAAGAAATATTCTTTCAATTTTAACTGTTATTCATAGGCGGTGTGGAGTGGTTAATATATTTCTCTGGTATCAGTTCAAGATACACTATTTTGTTTAAACATTTATTATTGTTCTTTAAGAAAAACTAACAATAAAATTAAATAAATAGCAAAACAAGATAAGATTACAATTATTTTCAATACACTGATAAAATAGAGGTCGGTAAAAATATATTATTCATATTAAGAGATCCTCAATACTGAAAGGATAAGTATGCACAACGTAAATTGTTGATCTGTTTGTCTGGTGTCTGATTGGTTAATAAAATGACCAATCATATGTAGCAACGTTTTTTCCCTTATTCTCACGATGAAACACAGGAGTAGCAAGGATGATTAAAGAACGGCTCATATTCAAATACAAATGAGTTTTAAATAAATGCTAAATAAAAAGTTCAATTTTTTCTAAGTAATTTATTCGAGAGAATTCTAGGGTGTGGGTGTGATATAAGAATGAAACCCACACCCATCCACAAGATCTATTCATTAACTGAAAATGTCGATGACATAAAAAATTCAAGTTGTACTAATGATGTTCCAGTAGAACATCGAAGATCATTGACATGATCGATGAATGGAAATGTTGATAGAATTTTACCGTTGAGTAATACACTTTTAACATAAATATTTGCTGGGGAATTATCATGAACAATAATTTTAAGTGTACATTGACCATTATTACGACGAATTGTAATACGATCAAATGAAGGACTACCGATCAAATACGTCGATGAACCGGCTAATGGATAGAAACCTAAACTAGCAAAAATATACCATGCTGACATTGTACCATAATCATCGTTGCCTGGTATTCCGCCAGGTTCTGTTGTATAAACATGATCAACTAGCCAACGTGCATGCTTTTGAGTAAGATCTGATCGATTAGCATAGTTAAATTGCCAAACAGAAAATAAATCATGTTCATTTCCTGCCCAATAATATGGATTTGGTATTACTGTTGTTTTCCATAGTCGACTTAGTGTAAAAAACTTATCAAGTTCTTCAACAAATTTGTTCGAACCACCAAATAAATCAATAAGACGATGAGTATTATGTGGTACAAAGAACCGATAGTGCCATGCATCGCCTTCAACATAACGATTATCGAATAGATTAAGTTGTTCAATTTCATTGGCTGGACAATGCAATTTACCAATAGTATCTCGAGGACAGAAAAATTTTGTTTTATTATCAAATATATTTTCAAACCATAGAGATCTATTATAATATTCTTGAGCTTCATCAGTAAGACCTGCAGCATGCATAATATTACCGATGGCCCAGTCATCATATGCGTAGCTTAATGTACGTGATGCCCCATAAGTATCATTTTCAAATGGTACATACTGATATTTTATGTATGTAGGTGGATCAAAACGACTATCGTGTTTTTGTACTTTATTAGCTACTTTTCGTAATGCTTCAATAACTTGAGTCATATTGAGATGAATATTATGCTCCTGTTTCATAATTAAATCACTTAATATAATATCAGAATGTGAACCGATCATACAGTTTGTATAAATATTAGCAAATGGCCACATTGGCAAATCACCACCTTGTTCAACAATAAGCATAATCGAATGAATAATATCATTACCTCGTTGTGAATCATGAAATATAATGAAAGGTATTTGTGTTCGAAAAATATCCCATATTGATAAATCTGTATAGATATGTTCCATGTAGTCAGGTTTCGTATGAACTTGACCGTCAACACCTAAATAGACACCATTCGATTCGTCCCATTGTGTTGGACTTGATAGTGAATGAACAATAGCCGTATTGAATTTAATTTCAGCTTCGGGATTCCATTGAGCACTAACCTATTATGATAAATATTCTATTATATTGAACTTTTCAATTGATTATCAATTATAACGTAAGCAGTTCTCAGTTCATTCTTCTTTTAGTTAAGTTTAGATCGTACAAAAACACAATGAAATAACAGTCTTATAAATTTTCTTTTTCTAAAAAAACCGAACATACCTCAAAACGAGATATTTCATCAAGCCATTTTTGTTGTACAAGTTCACGAATAGCATCGAAAGATTGTAGATTAGTTTGTATTTTTATATTGATATGTGCTTGCTCACGTGAAATAAAACTAATAGCAACATAAACTGTTGCTTGTTGTTGGTCATCAGGTAAAATAACATAAGCACCTGATGAACATCCATTGGTCGTTGTTTGTCCCGGTGCTAGTTGACCATCTTTCCAAACACCGAAATTTGTCATATTCGCAAATGTAATAACAAAATATGTTGTGATACCACCATCAAGTTTAGAAAAAGGTCCTTGGAAAAGAATCGAACCAGTTATTTCATTTTTGCTTGAATCGATATTGATATAACTTTGATTACAAGCTTTTGTATGTAGTGTATAGCTGCTATCTATAAGTATAACACGATATGGTTTATTGAATTTATCGAATGAATATCGATGAATACCGACTTGTTCGGTAGCAGTTAATTCAACATTAACTTCATGTGTATCGAGATAGACTTGATAGAAACCCGGCTCAACATGTTCACGCCCATGTATAAATGTACTTCGATAATTAAATCTACTTGTAATCATATATTGTAGATGAGCATTATCATCGACTTGAATTGGAAAAACGCCAACTTCACCATAATCTTGAAGACCAGCACCGACCATATGCGTATGTGAAAAAACATTGATATAGCTATCATCATAATGATAGCCACCACAATGTTCGAATATTATTGGAATATCCAATGTATTGCTCGTATCAGGACCTACTCGAAGAGCACCATACGGACTTTGCGCACCGAGAGGTAAACTTCCTACACCATAACCATTACCACCCGTACCAATATGTAAGTTGAGTGGTGGAAAGTTGATTGTTACGGCTGCTGATACAAGAAAAAGTAGAATCACCCATCGTTTGATCATTTTTTTCCTTTTTTTTGAAATAAATTGTCGTCAATTCTATTCACATTAAAATCTTGGGAGCCACTAACAACTGTTCTGATTTATCTTCTTCTAAAACATGTGCCATTTTTCTCATTAAAGAAACAATGGCAAACAAATTCATTTATCGAACAGTTAGATAAAGTTAATATTCGATTCGAGTAATTCTTGAGGGTGAGTGTGGGTGCAGACTAAAATAGAAATGAGCCCACACCCAGTTCTTAACATAATCTCAAAATCTAAGCACACGCTTCTAGTATATGGTTTATAGGGTCAAAATTGATCCTTTAAACTTGTTTTTGCTGTCATTTTTGATAGGATGAACCAAATGATTTAATATTTTGGATGTAGCAATGGTTTAACTATACCTATCATTTAAGATCTCTCTAGTAAAGTAGATTGGTCCTTGAAAACGATAAGAAATTTCATCTTTTATTCTGTATTCTTTTGTCAATCGAAATTTTCTTATGATGAAGAGCAGTTAAAATTATAGAAAATACTAATAAGACAATGATGAATATGAATTAAACTACCTTCTAATGGAAAATGATGTTTAATTTAACTGTATAAATATACACAAAAGTGAGATGTGCAATTCTTTGCGTCGGTAGGAAACTTTCGCTATTAACAAGATTTCTTTGTAATAGTATATTCTAGAAAACAGATCACAATATAAGTTATTATATACATAAAAAGTGTGTCTATATAGGAGTATTATAATAAAATGAATATTATCATTTATGTTGATTTTCAGATTTCATTTTCCAATTTTGATTTAATTACGATATCTTGTATTTATTTTTATGTTCAAGAAAATAATGCTAAGAAAAGATCATTGGTTAAGCTATACAAGTACTAATCTATTGATTGTTACTATTGATAAATAAAAATCTATCTTTGCACATTATTACTCATCGCAGAAATTATGACTCTAAAATTTAAAAAAAAAGCATATCAATTCGTTTCGTATGTCATTTATAAAATTTATTGCTGAGGACAATGCCGCCCTCTTTTTGCTTTGGATGGTAATGTTATATGCTTGTTATTGCTTTATCGTTCTCACCAATAGGTGATTCATTTGTTTCATGTATGAAGACTGTATACACGAATATGTAAGTCATATGCTGATAAGTTGAATTGTAGAAAGAAAGAAAGAAAGAAAAAAAAACAACAATAACAACATAACACATACAATTCGTATATCATTTTTACGTGTACAGCACGACTAATACAAAATCATTAATATAACAATGCTAACATTTTCAAAACTTGTTCCAATAGGATGGATCGCTCATCTTGGAACATGTTTTTATTTAGTGCGACCTCTTCGTTCATTATCATATCGAGCTCTTCTGACAATTGTTCCATGTGCAGTTTTGCTATATGCTGGATCTCAAAATCTTCCTTATTTTCATATATCATCTGTCATGACAGTTTCACTTTACTGGATGATATCAATTCGCCTGGTTGATTTAATTGTATTTTCACCCGAGAAGCCACTTTCACTGCTTTCATATATTGGAAAGTTTTTATGGTTTTTATTTCCCATCGTCAAATGTAATTACAACTATCCGATTATTTTTGATGTTATTTCAGCTGGTATTAAACTTTTATTAGCTCACTGGGTTTATCGATGGTTCCTGATCTGCGAACCGAGTGATAGTTATGCTCAAATGGGCATGTTCTATTTGTTTATCTGTACAGGCACATATATTACTGACGTACAAATTGCACTCGTTCGACTTATAACACGTGATAAATATACTATTTTATCATTCAATGATTTTCCATTTAAGTCACGATCTATTCGAGAATTTTGGGGCCGTCGCTATAATCAACTCGTTAGTTCACTTCTTAAAGAATCCGTTTTTGAACCTACTCGACGTTTATTTTCTTTCTCATCAGCAGTGGCTGCTCTAACTAGTTTTATAGTGAGCGGTCTACTTCATGCTCATGTAGCTGTTGCTTGTTTCGGTGCATCATCTCCATTGCCTGCATTTATCTTCTTTCTTCTACAAGGTGCTGCGTGTTGTGCAGAATCATTTTTTTCAATTAAATTACCTACCCCAGCTGGAATTGTAGTTACACATATGTTTCTTCTTGTAACAGCACCACTCTATGTCGGACTATTTACTCGTGCTGGCTCCACTTATTTTCCACTCAATCCACCTCCATTATTGAATGCAAAATGGTTACCTCAGTTACCAATATCCAGCTTTTCTCCAAAATAGACTATCATATCTAACTAACATTTGAAGTGGGTTGCTACGATTTAGTTTATTTAACTATATTAGAAAGAAAGGGGATCAACATTCCTTTATATCAGATTAGAGGGTGTGGATGTGTTTGAAAACTTGGTTGTAGTAGGTTGCTCAAACTCTACTGAGTGCATCGAATTTAGATTAGTCGTATCAAATGAAACTACTATACTAAAAATTCCAGATCTCTATTTTCTGATGTAGTGAAAGAAAGCTAAATCTATTTTGTTACATCTAAGTGACAATCAGATTTCTGTTCAGTCAAATTATTTATTTAGTATTTTTCTTTAAAACTTCATTATTAACAACATGAAAATAAGTAAATTGTTCAGGTTTCTGTTAGATTGAAATAACATCGAATCCAGCGCGAGGAAAATGAACATTGATGTTGCCCATCTTTTCATCTGAAAGACGAAGTACGATCTCATAGTCATCTGCTGCAATGAATGTTCCTTCGACTGGTACACAACCCGCATCGTCCGGTGTAACTTGTACTCGTTGTCCTACATGCCACATGCTAGTAGTTTTGTTATTTATATATTCTGGCTCGATTGGTTCAGCTTGTTTAGCTACTTCAAATGCTTCTTCGGCAGTCATCTCCTCGCTTGTACCATGACCTAACGCAGCGATACGCTCGAACCACGATACTAGTTTTGGCTGAGCTAATTCTGGTAAGAGATCGTCTGTTTCATTTGCTTTCCAGTTTTTTATAAACCATAATAGATGAT